ATATTTTTCTCAAGTTATAATCACTTTATTCAAAATTAAATTTGTTTAAATGTGACTTTTTTTTTTTTAAGAGTCAAAACGAGAGATTACAATTACGGAGTGTTTGGAATTGGAACATACAATTTTCAGAAAGTGACGTAGAATTATTTTTCAATCCGCTCTACAAATTTTGTCAAATAAGTAATTATCCATCGTTGAAAGAAAGTTACGATCATCAGAAACGTGACATTGTTATTTTTCCAGAGTTTAGCGTACCTTATTTAGGATTATGGATGCAATGTTATTTCCGATGGTTATCATTATTGAGCATACGTTCCGGGGGACGGCCCCAAGTCGACATTGTTCACAGACACCTTTTAAAACGTATACAATCATTAATTGTTGACTTTCAAGAATTGAATTCAAAAAAAATTGATAATTGTTTTTTAAATAATATAAGTGAATTACGGAGCAGCATGAGTAATAACAATAATAGTAATAATAATAATAATATTAAAGACGATAATAAAAACTCTGATTACGTTGATAATAATTCAAAACCGAATAAAACATCAAATAGTGTTAGTAAAAAACTTGAAAAAAAAGAAAGTAACGGTGGCGGAAAAAGTTATAATAATTCTAATGATAGGATCGGTGAAGAAGTAGAATATGAAAATTTATCGGATGCAAAATTATTATTTATAAAAAGAAACGCGATAGATAATTTTTTCCCATTCACAATAAATACTTCGAATTCTTTTTCCGGTTTTGTTACCGATACCCATTTAAAAGAAATTGATTCTTCATCAATTATAAATGTATCCGATTGAATGATTTTTTTTTTTTTTTTTTTTTTTGCATTTCAGTAATAGTTTACTCTTTTAAAACTTCAAAAAAAAAAAAAAAAAAAGATTATTCTAATTAATTCATTTATGATTTTTACAAAAACAAAAAAAAAATATATATATATATACATATAAAGCACTAATTATCCTTTTTTTTAAGTAATTATTAAGTAGTGAGTAAAGTTCCAAATGCATAATAAAAACTTTTTTTATATTGTTATACTAAAAACGCTTTGAGATTTTTTGCGAGAATGAAAGTAATCACAAAGTTTTATTTATATAAAATAAAAATAAGTTAAATATTACCTTACATTGTACAAAATTTGTAATTTTTTTTTTTAACATATAAATTAAATAAATTTTTGTTACGAAAAATTATCAAATTAGATAAAAAAAATTTTAAAAAACTTTTTTTTTTTTTTTCAATTAATTATTATTCCTATCTTGTTACTTATAGTTTTTATTTAAGGGTCAGAATAGGCCCGTAAATTGTACATTTTAAGGCAATCGTTTTTTTTTAAAAGTTTAAATTTATTTAAATTTTACGTAATTTTTTTTTTTTTATTTCGTTAAAAATTATCTAAGATTTTTTATCCAGAAAAGCGTCTAGTATTGAAAATCTCTTACGGCTTGCCAAAAACTTTGATATGCTTACATGTTAAATGCAAAAAACAAATACGGGAAAAAAGTAAATTATTGAAGGGAAAAAAAACTCTCTTAAAATTATTTTTAATGAAAAATTTTTTCAACAACAATTCAGTGAAATTCATGAATCAAATAAAAACGACAATAAAATCCTGTTTAATTTTTTTTTTCATCGAAGGGAATTCAAAAATGATTAAAAGGACATATTTACACAAATGAAAAATTTTCATTGAATACGCAATCGGAAATGACATTTTTAAATTTATTTAGTAAATCAAAATTTTCATTCGGAAATTCATCATCAGCAACGGTGTACATTTTAAAATAATTAGCGGGATACAATATTTTTTGCGTTATTGAATCGTATTCGCATTTTTTAGTTTCGATATTTTCTCTATATCCCAGTGGATTACAAATGCATTTATAATATCCCGGAAAATTTTTACACATTTCAAACGGAGTGTTGCATATCGATTCGTTTTCTAAGCACTCGTCAATGTCTACGCAAATCCCTAATATGAGAAAAAATAAGTAATAATAATTTTTTTTTTTTTTTTTTTTTTTGGTCCAAAAGACGAGAGAATGTAATATCAATATAAATATTAATAATTATTCAAAAAGTCTACAAAAAATGTCGTATTTTAATTACCAGATTTTGAATCCCAACGAAATCCGCTCTGTTCGCAACTACAAGAAACATTCCAATTGTTTAAAATAAGAGAATCAAAATAATTATTATTTTCTCTTAAAAATTGGCAATTTTTTTCAGATCCAGAAGTCCTTAAACAAGGACTATATAAAAAACAAGATTCTGACTCTCTTAAATGTTTTAGAGGGCAACAGGGATCCGGGCAAAAGGAATATAAAGCGCAGGAAAATGGAACGTTATCGTTCCCTCTAATATCATTATTGTGTAATCCGAAATTCCAGTCTAAGCAAGACCCATAATTATCACAGCTATCGTGAAAGAATTTAAGGTATTGAATTTCTTTCATTGTGTAAAAACACATGTAGTACAAAGCAGAAATCATCCATTGAAATTTTTGAATGGGATTCGCAAATAGCGTGAAACTGGATTCGTCCAGGCCGAGAAGTTTGACGCATTCTACGTCAGCTGCTTTTATATAATCTAAATCTTTATCAATGGACCAATTGTTTTCCTTTATTAATGTCATACTGTCTAAATGCCTCGAAAGAATGGCTTTATTAATTTTTTCTTGTAAATACATAACGCACTCATAAAAAGACGACTCGCAATATTTTTTAACCTTTAGAGAAAAGAAAAACAAAAAAAATTTTTTTTTATTTTATGGTACAAGGGTTTGGACACAAACAAAAAAAAAAAAGGTTATTTTATTACTTTATTACCTCCCACTGAATGTTTTTCAACGGGGGATTCGGAAACTCAATAAAAATTGTTTTTTCTGGGGGATTTGTTTCTTTCAAATATCTAGGATCGTAACCGTTGAATTTAAATCTTCTTAAATAATAAGCAACATCTAAAATTGCTTCTCTTAAAGCACTTTCTCTTTCTGTTTTTAAATAAAGGATTTTTTATATTAAAAAAAAAAAAAAAAAAAAGAAAATGGTATTCGGCAAACAAAGAGGACTAAAGTCAAAATCAAATTTAGAGATATACAAAAAAAAAAATTTTCACATGAAATAAAAAAAAAAAAAAAAACCATTACGAAAACCAATGCGAAAAAATAAAAATGCATACGAAAAATATATGATAATGCTATCAAACAGTTTACAAACTATACACTTAATATTTAATAAATAAAATATAAAAAAAAAAAAACCTGGGTAAGTTTTATTTTCCAATTCCAACGTTCTTTCCGTTGTTTCATGCGATCTCATTTTTTGTGGATCATTTTCAGTATTTAATAATTCAACAGAATAATTATTACAAAATTCATTTGATTTAATCGTTTGAAAAAATAAAATATTTGAAAATACGTAAAATTCTATAAATGATGCAAAATAATTACGAATCATCAAATTAAAAATAAATATAATTAAAGAAAATTGAAAATAATTATTATTATTTAAATTAACCCTTTTTTTTTTTTATTATTTTAATTCTTTTTTTAAAAAAGTTTTTCTTTTTTTTTTTTCAAAGTTTTAAAAAGAAGTTTTTTATTAATTTTAGAAATTTCAAATTTTTAAAACGATTTAATTATTGGTTAATTAATTTTAAAAAAAAAACTTTAAGGGTATAATGGTTGAGCGTAATTAAATATTTTTTCTTATTATAAAACTCAGAATTTCTAAAAAAGTAAATTAAATTTTTCCTGTTTCGAAAATTTTCACCTGTTGTTGGATTTTTGTGAATTTACAATTAAATCCTACTGAAAACGCCCAAGTAATATATAATTTTTTTTTTTCTCAGTTTTTTAAATAAAATTTTCATGGTGTTTGTGACAGAAAATAAATAAATAAATAATAATAATAAAATTATTTTTAAAACAATTAAAGTGGTTTTTTTTTTATTTGAAATGGAGTCAGTAAAAGAAAAAAAAAAAATTTATCGAATGTCAAAAAAATATAAGTGAAAATAATATTGGTTCGTGTTTTTCTTCTTTTTTTTTTTTAAACTAAGGTTTCGAGGTTTTGTAATAATTAAACGTAAATATTCGTATATATAGTCAATTGCATAAAGTGTTCAGTTCAAATTTTATCAAAATTTAATATTGAAATAATCCGAATGATATTGAATTTTATTTCACTCTAAAACCCAAACGAAAAACGTTAAATGAGTTCATTTTAAAAAAATATAATTGATGTATTTTTTATTCATTATCGAATTCTATCTCAATTTAAAAACAAATAAAAAATTGACAGAGAAAAAAAAACAAAAACCATAATCGTTTTCCATTGAAATCAAAAAATATTTTTTCTCTTAATATCATTCATTGTCTCAAAATATGTGGGATAATTACAAGAAGCTTATATGCGATATATTTAAAAATGGTATCATGAAAATATTGACTCAAAAAAACCTGAAATATTAATCGATTTCATTCAAAATTTTTTTTTTTTTTTTGGGGGGAGGGGTCATTTAGCAAAGAACAAAATTATTAGAATTTAAAAAAATAAAATTTTATCGATTTTTATTATTAATATTAAAAAAGTTATTAGAAAAAATGATTTTTTTTTTCATAAATGTTTTCTCTCTTAAATTAATAATTAAAATTTATTTACGAATGATTACTATGAGTAGTAAGTAGTAGTGATTGTTACTACTTTTATTGTTTTTTTATTATCAAAGACATGGCCACATATTATATAGATTTATATGAAAAATCTTATATTTTTTAATAAAATTAATTTGATTTTCGTAGAATGCATGAAATTCTCGTAATCGGTATAAAATCAAAAGCATCATGACGACGGATTCACATAAGATTTATTTTATCCATCAAGACTTTTAATTAAAATAATGTCTTGGTTATTAATATTAATATTATTATTTTTTAATTGTGGTGAGTGTTATTACGGTGGCATTTAAGAAAAATTGCTCATTAAATATTATATGAAAATTATAAAAAATTTATTTCAGATATTTTGATAACGACACAATTAAAATCCCAATATTCAGAAAAATTAATTGCCTCGGATGTTGATCCATACTTTGATACTTCTGTTCCAACAAATCTCACTGGACTAGTAGGAAAAACCGCTTATCTCAATTGCAGAGTTAAAAATTTAGGTAACCGAACGGTAAGTTTTGTTTCCATATCGCCTGGAGTTTTTTTTTTTAAAATTAAATAATTTTTATTTATTCGACAACCTCATCTATTTAAAATATTAATTACGATGTCATAACGCATAAAAAAAAAAAGTAATAATAACAAATTCTGTTCGGGTATCAGAAAATATTTTGATTCATTTTTTTTAGGTTTCTTGGATCAGACATAAAGATATACATTTGTTAACAGTCGGACGTTACACTTATACTAGCGATCAAAGATTTGAAGCCATTCATAGCCCACATTCGGAAGACTGGACATTAAGAATAAGATATCCGCAAAAAAAAGATGCTGGTATATACGAGTGTCAAATTAGTACCACACCACCCATCGGTCATTTTGTACACCTTTCCGTATTGGGTAAGAATTTTGAAAAATTAAATTAATTTTAATGTATATATGTAGTACATCAATGTCTATTGATTTACATTAAAAAAATGTTTCAAATTCGGTTAACTCGATACAAGTTTTATTTATCACTGTCAATATTCGACAAAAAGTCTAAAACAAAAAAAAAAATATTCCGTACCCGAATTTTTTTTTACTTATTATTTAAATAATGTATTTAATTAAAAATCCCTACATTTCTCTTACGAAAAATATGAATAAAAAATAATTTCTCAAAATTATTATCCTCTCTATTATCTTTCGTTTTAGAGCCAATAACGGAAATATTGGGGGGACCTGATGTTTTCATAAATACAGGAAGCACAATTAATTTGACATGTCTTGTCCGATTCGCTCCTGAACCTCCATCAACCGTTGTTTGGAATCACGATCAAAAAGTAAGAATTATTATTTGATATATATATATATATATATATATATTTTTTTTTTTTTTCTGAAAATAAAAGTAAAATGAAATGTTTTTCTTTCATTACTTTGCATCATAGGAATTTTATATAAAAAATATATTAATTTATAAGTACAAATGATTTTTATGCTAATTCAAACAGAATTAAAGGTTTTCACTTACTTTCTTTTTAAAAAAAAAATAGTTAGAGCTATCAAGAGCATAATATACTTTTCTTTTTTTTAGGTAATTACCTTTGATTCACCAAGAGGAGGAATTAGTTTAGTAACAGAAAAAAGTTTAGTAACAACTAGTCAACTTTTAATTCAAAAAGCAAATAGAGTGGATTCAGGGCTTTATACTTGTCATCCGTCTAATGCAAATCCTGCAAATGTTCGTGTTCATATATTAAATGGTTAGTTTTGATTTTATTTGTACATAATATTTATTAGTTTTTAAACTAGATGAAAATAAACAAATAATTTTGCTTCTTTTTTTTTTTTTTTAAACCTGCGATCAAATAATTTTTTTTAACATACGTTATCTCATACGGTAATCCTTGACTAAAAACCATTTCAATATTAATAAGTTTTCAATTAAAGATTAAAAAACTTTGATTTAATTCGTTTTAGAAAACTTTTTTTTTTTTTTTTTTTTTTTCATGAAAAACCAAGTAACATATATCGCATTTGATGAGTTAAAAAAATTTTTTACTAAACAAGAATTTTCATTTGTACCAATGGTTTCCAATTTTTTTGTCATTAATAAGCAAGAAAAGTTTTTCTTAAAGTAAATTTTTTTATCCGTGAAAAAGTTGTAGATTTTAAACACGTTTTCACGTTTAAAAACATTTATAATATTCTGATAATAGAATTACAAAATGAGATGACTATTGGTAACAAACTTTATTATTCTCTCTGAATAATAATAAATATTTAGGATTAATATTCATTTGTATTTAATTTCTTACAGCTAAAAAGGTACTAATAAAGAACGAAAATTCTCGTTTCGAAAATTATCGTGCATAACGAAAAAAAAACAAAAAAATTTTTTTTTTTAATTATTGAAATTCGCGATAATCAATTGATAAAAAAAATTATATAAAAGAAACAATTCAGAGTCTTATGAAATTAATTTTTTTTTTTTTTTGCATATAAGTAAGTATTGGATTATTATTTAATTTTCAGGAGAATATCCCGCAGCCATTCAAAGAGAAGCCACATCTACAGCCTCATCTGCTTTGCTTAAATGTGCCTTACAGGCAATAATAAGAATATTATTTTTGTCCTTGTTAAAAGTTAAATAATCATTAAATTACAAATCAAATCTGTAATTAATAATTATTCATAAAAATATATTAATTGTTGAAAATTTTAATTTTTGTTATAATTTTCCAATGCATATGCTTTTAAAATTAAATTAGATTCTTATAAAAAATTAATTTATAAATTATTCCATAAAAACTTACCAAGACATAGTCTTGAATATTAAAACAATACTTTGATACAATTAAAATTTTCAAAATGCCATTTTGCGTTGATTATACTAATCATTTGATGTTATTTTTAACAATGAAACCAAATTTGAAGTTAATTATTCATTTTATAACTTTCTCAAGTTTTATGAACATGGAATCCATATTGTTTTCAAATATAAAATTTAACTTGTTGATGTTTTCCTTACTTCTGAGTACTCAAGTTATGCACTCATTCATGTATATTTAACAATTGTGTATGTAAATTACTCAATTCCTCCTTCATCAGTTTTGGAAAAAATCAAACTAAATACTATTAATTTTTAAAAAAATGAGGTTTTTTTTTTGTTACCAGTAATGTTCATCCCTATGTAATAAATAATATGTCTAAATAAAGAACTTGTGTAATTTTTTGGGTGGTTGGATCTTTTCAAATGAAAAAGTTATTTCAAATAATGTCCCAACTTGTCTGTTAATAGTTACTTTTAATTCAATTGTTTCTCACCTAAAAATAAAAATTCTTAAAGTCGACAAATACTCTGCAAACTAAAAAAAAAGATAAGATAGATGATTGTGCAATTAGAGAAATAGTTAATATTAATTTAATAGAATTTTAATTGAAATACTAGGAGTGAATATCAATGGAACATAAAAAATAATTATGCAAAGGAATAATCTCACAAACTAACAATAAGAAAAATATTTGAAATAAAAAAAATTTTCTTTACATTTTGTAAACTGGAATTTTCCATGTTTAGTTTTACTTTTTTTTTTTTTTGTTAAATTTTTAAAAATTCCTTACATGTTTCTTTTAAAAAAACAATGCCCCAAACACATTGATTTTACCTATTTCAAAAAGAAAAAAATTGAACCTTTTGGCATCCTCTTAAAGTTACCATCCGAGATTTGATCCTTTATAATTTTCTTTTTTTCCAACTTCTGAAAGATGATAATTTAACTTCATGCTCTTGAATTAAGTCTTTTCTTTTTTCCCTTATTTCTGAAGGCAATAAATCAATAATTTTGTCAATGTAATTATCCAAAACAATAGATCTAGCTTCGACAGAAATTTTTTTCCTGCATATTGGACATGTTTTTTGTTTATTTTTCCACTGTTTGAGACAAAGTTTACAAAAACTATGAGAGCAACCAAGGGTTACAGCATTTACAAATAACTCTGAGCATATAGTGCACTGAAGCTCTAATTCGACTAATTCAGTAAATTTCTCAGTCGCTTCTGATTTAAGTGATAAAGCCTCATTGCATTTACTTGTTGCAGATGATAACTTTTCCATCAAATTTAAATTTTTCAACTTTAAGTCATTTAATATTGTTTGAACGTTTTCACAATCCATCAATTTTTTTTTTAAATTTAAACAGTCAACATATGACAAAAAGCAGTATGTTTTATCAATGTTTTCAGTTGAAATTTCCTTACATTTAGTAAAAGATTTATCATTTTCATTAGACATTAAATTAACTGAGAGTGGTTCATTCAATTTCTCGTCGGTATTTTTATAATTATTAGTTTCGGCCGTCACATTCATTTCATTACCTTTTTCCATAATTCTTATTTGTCTCATACAGTTGTCAACATTTTCAAAACGATTACACAAATTTAAACTTGTTTGAGTTTCACTTGAGTCAAATTGAAAGTTTTCAGGTATTAATGAATAAAAAGTACATGAGATACTATTTTCAACAACAGGGCCAAGTCTAATGACATCCCCTTGTTTAAGATTAACACTTTGATTTTTACCGATTAATGAATCATTTACAAATGTTCCTGATGAACTGCTATCGCATACCTTCCATTGCGAGTTTTCAAAAACTATGGCACAATGATGTCTAGATATGTTTACATTAAGAATAATAAAACTAGCGGATTGATTTCGACCTATCGTGAAGGGCACAGATTTAATAAATACATCAGTATTTTGTGGAAAACCTTTTAACACAGCCAGCGACATATTTAATAAAAAAGTATAATTTCTACAAAAACACTATTTATATAAACAAACAAAAAAAAAAAGTGGTGAATACTTATGCGTTTAGTACAGCCATTTTTACTTAACCGCTTTGTGCACACTTGCCAAATGTAAAAAAAAAAAAAAAAAAAAGTACATACTTGTCGCCAAGAAACAAAGTTGCAAGTTCTTCTGTTACAGGTTTGACATTAATTATAATAATTATTTTTTTTAATATTTTCAATAATTTATGCATATCGCCAAAGCTAAAGTTCTAATGTACATACATTTTTATATTTGGCTTAGATATCAAGTATTTCTGTTATTGTTAATAAAAAAAACTGCGTTTTAAAAAAGTTCAAAGAATTTCTTTTGAAACAAAAAATTAAATTTTTTCATAATAAAATTATTAATATATTATATGTATAAAGTTATTTACGTATTTTTTTAAATTTAAAAGTTTTAATTCTTATTATAAATTATCAAGTGTTTATATTACGCGAGAATTTATTAATAATTTATAATTTCCTTTCATTTTAGAATTACACCGGTTTCGTAGTACTTAAATACATGTTTTGTCATAGCTGGCTCAAAATGCATCGGGCCGTAAAATTCGTTCATGTCAAAAGAAGAATTCAAAATTTATTATATTCGACGGCGGCTTTGCCTAAACCTGATACTTCTCCTAAAATTCACTGTACTGGTGTAAGTTAAATTTTTATTTAAATATTTTTCCTTATTGTTTTTTAGTAATTTATTTTATTCAGCGGTTTTATATGTTTTTTTTTTTTTCCAAAGGAAAAATTTAATTTTTATTTCATAAATTTTGAAAACTTAAATGAGCAATTTTGTTTCATGATAACAAAATTTTTATACGTCACGTCAATTAAAAAACTGACACTTAAAATAACATAAAATAATTAACACATTGTAGATCTTTATCAACAATGAATGGATGACTTCAAAAAAAGGCAAAGTATTTAAAACTGTTAATCCATCAAATAATGAAGTCATTGCTGAAATACAAGAGGGAGGGGTGGAAGATATTAATGATGCTGTTGCAGCTGCCAAATCTGCTTTTAAGTTGGGCTCTCCTTGGAGAACCATGGATGCCTCAAATAGAGGACTTCTTTTAAACAGACTGGCTGACTTGATGGAGGAAAATAAAGTATATCTTGCTGTGAGTAGCAATCACCATTTACTTAAATACCTAGGTATTTGAAATTCATATGGGAATCAAACAAGAAAATATTTAAAATAAGAAGATCTAATGCATTAGCATTAAAGTATATAGAAATAAATAAATTACACTATTTTAATGATTAACAGTTAATTTTTCTGAAATTTTTCATGGTATTTTAATCACATCAATAAATGGAATCTCTTACCGAAATATTTTTTGTGAGAATTTAACCTGAACAACAATACATTTAATTACTAACTTCATGTTATGAAATTTTTTTTTCTTTTAAGTTAAGTATTAAATTTTAACTGAAGTAAATTTGAAAAATCTTTGATTTAGAAGTTTCACTATACACTGATGATCATCCAGTTTATACATTTGCCTATGTCACATATTATTAGTTTTTAAGTTTTATGTTTCATTATGTTTTGTAAATGTTTTGAAGTTTGACAGTAAGGCTTTTTTTCAAGAGGATGTTCAATATTTTAGTAAAACTTTGATTCTGGACTAATGTTTCTAACCGTTATTGGCATGATGTGAACTCATATTACAAAATAAAATATATCAAAGTTATAAGTGACCCTGAAAACAAACCTTAAATATTAAACGCTGAAAAGTAAGTGTTACTAAGTAGTTAAGTGTTTATGTAAAAGATATCTGAGTACCACAAATAAAAATTTATTTTCCCAAAATAATTACCGTAGTTTGTAAAGTAATCATATTAAATTTGATAAGCTATAAACGATAACCACTAAAAAAAAAAAAAAACCCGCAAAAAACTGATTAATTTGATAAACAATTACGATTCTCAGCAAAACAACAATAAAAAAACGATTATCCTTTCAGAGTTTGGAAACCTTAGATAATGGAAAGCCTTATGCAATGTCGTATAATGTTGACGTACCGTCAGCCATTAAAGTGTTGCGTTACTTCGCTGGATGGGCAGATAAAGTTCATGGAAAAACTATACCGATAGATGGAAATTTTTTCGCTTATACAAGACATGAACCTGTTGGAGTTTGCGGTCAAATAATTCCGTGGAATTTTCCTTTGCTAATGTTATCCTGGAAATTAGGCCCAGCATTGGCTACAGGTTTTTTTTATTTTTTATTTTTTTCTTACATTCCCTTCATATTTATTTATTTGATTTTTATATGCATGTGTATATATATATATATATTTAAATGCAGCTTGAAATGGTTTAAAAATTGGTATTAAACACGCGAAAAAAATCTAATTTATCCTTGAAACTATTATTCAAAGAAATTAATTTTGTGGTTTATTATATTCATATTAAAAAAATTTTTATAATAGCATAATATAGAATTTAGAATATTTTAAATTAATATGGTTTTATTAAATGGCCAAAATTAAAAAAGTCATTGGTAAAAGATAATTGTTTATTGATGCATTTTTAATTTTTAATTTTTTTTGGTAACCTAATCATAAAAAAAATTTTTTTAAAATGTTAATTATTTGAAATTTTTTTTCAAAAATAATACAAGCCCCTTAAAAAAAAACCAATAATTATTATTATTATTATTTTTTAATTCACGAACAGGAAATACTATAATATTAAAGCCAGCTGAACAAACTCCATTAACCGCGCTTTATACTGCTGAATTAATAAAAGAAGCAGGTTTTCCTCCGGGAGTTGTCAACATAGTTCCTGGATTCGGTAATGCGGGAGCTGCTTTAGTTCATCATCCAGATGTTGATAAAATAGCTTTTACGGGTTCTACTGAGGTTAGTAAATGAACGTTACTTCACATGCATTATTTGAATCCTTTCCTCCGTAAGTCATCAAGTTTAAAATCATTAAATTTATATTTCAAAACCCCAAATTTTTCATCAAAAAAAAAAATATATCTTTACGCGAGTTGTTTACCGTCCACAATTATGTTGTTTATGGGTTTAACAGTTTCACAATTTTAATTAAAAAATTTTTTTTTTTTTATTGAAAAAGTCATTTTATAATATTGAATAATTTTTTTGAACGCATAAATTTTGTTACAGGTTGGGAAATTGATACAGCAAGGTGCAGGAGCCTCTAATTTAAAAAGAATTTCTTTAGAACTTGGTGGAAAATCACCAAATATTGTATTGAAGGATACAGATTTAGATTTTGCGGTGCAAAACTCTCATTTTGCTTTATTTTTCAATATGGTCAGTTTAATTTCTACTTTCTATCGTTTCATTAATTTTATTTACAAAAAACAAAAACTATTCTCTCGGATTTATTTTAATCTAAAAAAAATTAATCTGAAATCGTACCGACCGAGCATTTTAAATTTTCTAAAATGGAGAAATTTTTAATTTAAACAGCCACGCAAAATATTAAATTATTTAAAATCGTAAAATGATTTTGTTTTGAGAATAACAATTCCTTAACTCATTAATTAGTAGTTTTTATAGATATGTAAATATTTTTTTTTGTAAAACAGGGTCAATGTTGTTGTGCCGGTTCTAGAACATTTGTCGAAAATGATATTTACGATGAATTTGTCGAAATGAGCGCGGAAAGGGCTAAAAAAGCTAAAGTTGGAGATCCTTTTGATATTGTCAACGAATACGGTCCGCAAATAGATGACGTACAATTTAATAAAATTTTGGGTTACATAGAAAAAGGAAAAAAAGAAGGAGCTAAACTAGTATCTGGTGGATCTGCTATCGGCAAAAGGGGATATTTTATAGAGCCCACAGTTTTTTCAGAGGTAATAATTACGATATAATTAAGCATCGATGACCTTAAATTTGAATACGTCAAACTTTTTTTCACCTTGGACTTTATCTATTTTTTTTATTTATATGTAATGGTTTACTGAAGTGAGAGGCCAATTGTTAGAATTGGATTTTTTTTTAGCAATTTCCGTAAATTTTTTTAGGTTTCCTTCATTTTTTTTTTTTTTTTAATAATTTTCATCGATTATTCATATTTGGATTTTTCATTATATTAATTTGTGTATTTTAATTATTTGATTTCTGTTCAGGTAAAGGATAACATGACAATAGCGAGGGAGGAAATTTTTGGTCCTGTTCAACAAATTATTAGATTTAATAAATTAGAAGAAGTAATTGAAAGAGCTAACAATTCCAATTATGGTTTGGCCGCAGGAGTTTTTACTAAAGATTTGGATAAAGCTTTATATATAGCTCAGGGAATACGAGCCGGAACCGTTTGGTATAAATCATATTATCATGATCGTTTCGTTATATAAAAGCCGTTCAAAACTCATATCAAATTAAATGATTATTATTATTATTTATAATTGTAGGGTCAATACTTACAATACAATAAGTGCACAAGCTCCTTTCGGAGGATTTAAAATGTCCGGCAATGGTAGAGAATTGGGTGAATATGGTTTAGAACACTACACGGAAGTTAAAACTGTCATCATTAAAACTCATGAAAAAAATAGTTGAGTCGATTATTGTATGTCCAAATAGCCAAGCGTTTAAAAAAGTTTTAAACGTAATCAAGTGTCAAAACTTTACAATTAGTTTCCAAACAAAAAAAAAAAAAAGGTGGGCCTTAAAAAAAAGAAATTCGTAAAAAAAAACCAATTATTAATTATTAGTTATTTTTCACTTGTTAAATTTAATTGAATTTTAAGCTCAAAAGTTTTTGAATTATGAATTATTTATACATATTATATTTTTCGAATTATACATAACTTTTTTTTACGTTTTTTAAATTATTTTTTTAGTTTTAATTTTTTTTTTTTTTTGTCTAGAAATATAGTGAAAATGCGATGAGTGTAATGTTATAAATAAATCTTTTTTTTTTCTTTTTTACATTTAGCATTAAAAAATTAAAGTTTAAAGTAATGACAATTGAACAAAAAAAAAAAAAGGTTCACAACAACCAACCTATCCTTCTTTTGGCAGTCTTAATTTCGGTTAAAAAATATGGCACTGGGAACCATGACACACTCAATGAAAGAAAATTTAAAGAAGAAACTATCTAGGAAATCGCGTTATGTGGGACGGCCCACACATAATATTATAAATAAGACCATCGTTATAAATGTCCTAATACAAAAAAAAAAAAAAAAAAAGAATTATATAAATGTAAATGTTATTTACAGCGTACAGTAAAAGATGCATTTTTTTTCCCCCCATTTCAAATCGACTAAAATGTTTTATTTATATGAGGAATTTTAAATGACTTAAAACGTAAACCGAATGAAATAAATTTGTTTGTGTGTGCGTGTGATAAGAAAAGGAAAAAACAAATTCGCGGGGTCTATTCGTCATCTTGTAAACTCAGAAAAAGGAAAATAATTAAAATAAAAATAAAAATTTATTTAACGTTACCTAACGTAATTTAAATTACGAATAAAAATGTTAATTTTTTATTTTTATTTTATTAATATAGTTAATAATAATCATAATAATCACGATAATGATAATAGTAATTAATAATAATAATTTTTTTTTTTTAATAAAAAAACGTAAGTCGCTGTAATTGTTAATAAGGTAATGAACGTCGAGTACGGTCGAGTTTTCATCATTAATCCCGTGTTAATTTAATTATTAGTACTTGTGATATATTTTTTTACTTATGACGTATAAATATTATACATTTTTTATAATAATTTTATTTTTCACTTTTTTAAAATGGATATTGTAATCCTAGTAATAATAGCCCCTGAGATGCGTATATTACAAAGAAATATAGAATCGACATTGCTGTAGAATATTTGTATCTAACGTTTGCAAAAGACTTTCAAAATTATTTGATCCAACTTGATTTTTCAAATCGTTAAGCTAAAATTAAAATCGAAAAAAAAAAAAAAAAAAAAAAAAATTAATTCAACTAATCAATACTTTTTAACACGGCAATAAATATCTATATATAATAAAATTAATTTTTTTCCATGCCTGCAATTGTAAATATCCCTTCAATTCAATTTTATAAACAGGATCAAATTCATTTAAATGTTTTTTCCTTTTTTCAATTGTACTGTTTTCGTCTGTTCCATCATCTCCTACGAAATTTCTGTCTTCCGGCGTAATCAAAGAATTTAATTCCGCCGATATGCTATCTATGTCCATGATATCATTTAACGCTTCGATTATATTTTTTACTATAGTTGAAAATTGTGATAAGACAGAATTAGATTGTATTGTTAAAAGGGAAGACAATGCCAAGGCAAGTAATTTTCTTTTTTCTAATTCCGATACAGACGGCATCACTTTATTCCAAACGAAAAGAACTTGTTCCAATAACCTTTCTGTTAAACATGATCTAAGATTGGCTGCTTTTTCCATTACCTATGAGTAATATTTTCAAAAAAAAAAAAAGGTAATATGGATGACGAAATTAAAGAAATGTTTTTTTCCACATCTAAATAATTATCGTTTTTAAGTTACAACAAATAACCTATTATAAGTAACCATTATTTTTTTTTAGTCCTCAAAAATCAATGCACATATTAAACAATATAAGGAGAACATTAATAAAAAAAAAAATTAAAATGATAGTCACTTACCTGTGAAAAAACGTCTTTTGAATAAAGTAGAACTCTGCAAATGACGGCCGAGTACATGGACATAGCCATATTCCAGCTTTCCTCTTCGCAGATACACCTGAAATTCATTAAATTTTTTTAAATTTTTTATCTCATCTTGTTATTTATTTTATTGCGCTTCCCTTAACATCCCCTTTTAATTTATATAATATTTATTTAAATTAATGTTATTAAACACTTACGAAACGGTGTAGACTAGAATAGGTAACGATAAATTGACGCCGATGTGAGGATTGGCTTTAATTGTTGTTTCAACAACTTGCATTATTTTAAATATTTCTTTATTATTTGCAGTAGTCATTAAACTCGAACACATTATCATTAACGATTCTCCATATTCCTGCAGTGAAAAAAAAAAAAAAATCAGATTATTTAATACAAGTTGTATCAAGAACAAAATGTACATCTGCAATGACAATAATAAAAACTTGCAAAATTTTAAGTTTTAAGCTGTCTATATATAATATGTATGATGTAATGTTTAAAGTAAAGGGTAAATATTTGTTCACTCAAAGGATAATTTCTTGCATTTTTTTTTTTTTTTCATTTTTGTTCAAATTCATACAAGACACAACAACTTCATCCATAAACAAATACGTATACTTACACTCAAAAATTTTTCGGGATTTAATAAAATATATGACTGAATTATATTGCAACAGCATTCCAGATATTCTAATGAATTTTCTAAAAAAAAAACAAAAAAATTATTCAAATGATTTTTTTTTTTGTTGGTATTTTACGAAATGTTTATTATTTAAAAATTACTTATATTATACAAACCGTTTTTATTATTTTATTTACATTATCAAATACTTGATAAAAATGTTTAAACATTAATAAAATTTGTTTCTATTTTTTATTATTATTATTTTTAAAATAATAATAATATCATAAATATATATTTATATTAAAAATTATATGTTCTTTACATAATTATTAAATAAAAAAATAAAAATATATTACTTACCCAGAATATTGGGCATTTTTTTATACAGATTAAAAAGTTCAGGTGTAAGACCCACTGAATATTCAATTACGGTTAACCATAGTTCTAAACCATCTTCAATTAAATATATGTGAGCATCATTTTTGACATCAATACAATGTTCGATTACGGGATATAAAAATGATGTTAAATTTTCACTGATGAGAGCCTAAAAAAAAAAAAAAAACATTATTTTAAATTTTGAACAGGCACACCATGTGCAATAATACCTTTTGAATACATCATTATCAAAACATTATAAATAAAAATACTTAATATTCAATTGAATTGTGAATAGGAAAAAAGAGATAATAATAATTACGTTGCTTACCCGTACGAATTGGACAAGAGTGGACACTATTACGCATCTTAGCATATTGTAATTAGCTGATTCCTCCCAAAGCAAAGGTAAATACTGAATTAAAGACTGAGAATAGGGTTTAATATCTTCACCGACACGTTCAACTATGAAAGATAAAACACCAAGTAATTGTATCTGAAAATCAATATTATTTTATAAATACATTTTTTGTTTTTTTTTTTTTTAAACAGTAATTTTATTTAAACGATAAATAGAAAAAAAAAAAAAAATTTCAAAAAATAGATTCACACACATTTTATAAAATGTCATGCAAATAAAGAAATTAAACATTTTCAATAAAAGGCGGCGGGACATACATAATTTTCAAACATTATTTATTGTATTTAATTACCTTGGTAGAACATTCTTTTACTTCTTGCAAAAGAGCAAATAACATTGAAAATGAAGGCCCCAAAAAATTTGCTAACTGATCTGAATTAAATTCAAAACGATCAATTATACTTTTTAATGCAGTTGCTGCGGTCAATCTAACAACCAAGTCTTCGTTTCCTAAAAAATAAAAAAAATTAACAATTATTATATACCGTGAAATTTTTTCGTCCTATACAAAAGTTTTGCATATATATGATTTATTTGGGTATTCATAATACCCAATTTATAAGTTTTTAAACTATTTTTTGGAGAAAAAAAAAAAACTTATAAATACCATTCGGATATGTAGCTTAAATATAAAAAATCAGAGAACAAGAATTTATGAAAAACGAAAAATGTTTCATTTACGATTCATATTTTTCAAAAATACAAGTAATAAATTCCGTTTAAAAGTTTTTTTTTTTACTTACGCTGTAAAAGAGGAAAAACTGCGCTACAAATATTTGGATTAAAATCTGTTGCAGGTTTAGCATCGCTCCATTTTCCAATCAACCATATAATTCGCCTTCTAATAATTCTGTAGTTTGGTTCTTTTATTATTAATTCGTGCATTAAAGTGGCAGAGTACCATTGATCGAAATCGACCTGAAAAATAATTTTTTTTTACATATTAATTATAATATAATATTTATACATATTATTTTATATTATTTTAAATTTCATTTATTTATTTTACGCAAATGTCACAAAAATAAATTTTTATTTATTTAATTCCTTATATTAAAATAATTCGGTAATTTTTTTTCTTCAATAAAATTAATGAACGAATTATTACTAATACCTCATCGTAGAAATCAAATGCACATAAGCCTATTGAACAATAAACAGCATCCTTTTTAAGAATTCCGTTTAAATCTAATGGATCAACAATTTGCTGATTGTCTTTAACTAATTTTAGAACTACGGGAGTTAAAATATCTCGATATTCGTGCAACAAGGCTAAATACAAGGAATGGGCGCACGGATGAAGTAAAAATTTCCATGATTCCCCAATTTCATCAACCGCTGTAAAAAAAAAAAAAAAAAAAATTAATTATTATTTTTAGGACATATATATATATATATATATATATGTGTGTGTGTGTATCTAGACGGATATATAGAAATCCTGAAATCCAACATCAAATTTTATTGACAGTTACACTTATATATTTACAATAAACGTTTAAAGAATAATATAAAATCCTTTTGTGATTTTTTATAAAAATGTTATCTGAACCCAACTTACCAAAAGTTTCTGGATCTTCTTCCCATAATTGAAGATCTTCTTTAGTTAGTAGAAAGTATTTGGTAATTAATTTGATGCAAATTTCTTCAAGAATTTCTGGTTTAAAAAATTCCTTTTTTAAACGATTGGCTTCCTGAACAATTTCATTTTGATTAGTATTTATGTCGAAACAAGACATATTTATAAATTTGTTTCTTTTGTATTCTTGACATAATAATATGGCTTTCATTAAATTTAAACATTGAATTATAAATCTATCAAATAACATATCGGGTGACCCCAGAAAAATAAAATTGAAAATCAATGTCAGAGATGGTTGAATAAAAGAAATAAAAGAAAATGGATGATTTTCTAGCAGAGCCAACAAAACCATTGTCATGTGACTAACAGCTTTTTCACAAAGAGCTGTAAGTTGAGACAGTCTTCCTCCAAACTTGCCTGTAAAATTTATTAAACTATATTTAAAAACAAATTAATATAATAATAATAATATTAATAATAATGCTTTTATGGTATTTTACAGCATCAAAAGTACTAAAAATTATCTAGTAATTTTAGCAAGTAGAAAAATAAAACTTTTGACATTTTCCGATATTAGACGCTACAAACTTTTCATTTAACTGAATTTTATTAATATCCCTCGATAATAATTACTAAAAATTTTTATTTTTTATTTTTCATTACTTACGAATTAAAAGCATGTCATTTATTCTTCCGAATAATGAATTTACAAAAGCCATTACATCTGGTGATTCATTGGGTTTTTGAAAGCCATGAACAGTTAATTTTCTTAAAATTTTCAATGTTAATAAAACTTTGGCTAATGTTTCAAGACCCAGTGAATTATTATTTTGAGCCTGAAAATAAAACAAAACTTTTGAATACAACATTCAAACATTTCACAAAAATTTGCAAAATTTTTGAAACTAACTTTGAAAACAAAAAAAAAAAAAAAAAAAAAAAGAAGAAAACAATACCTGCATAATAAAATCTTGAAACAATATATTCCAGTTATTAAAAACAAACTGAAAAATTTCAGCTGATACTAATTGAAAAAGTCTTCTATCTCCAATTAATCTTTTTGACGCTAATGCTTTTACCACTTGATTAAGAGTATGCAACCCTCGAAATTGCATTAGCAAATTACCATTTTTAATAACCTCAATTAAATTGGGAATCAGCTCTGGCCATTCCTTCGGACAGTCATACCTAGTTAAATTTAATAAATTAATCACACCGGCTTGGCATAAAATATACACATACATATATGTATGTGTGTGCATGTGGCTAATTCATTCAATTTTTAATTTAAAAACTGTTTGGTTTCATAAAAAAAGTAATTGATTTAATTATAAGCACAATAATTGAAATAATGCATAGTTTTAAAATATTACACATTGTATAAAAACAATTTTGTACCTAGCCATTCTAGATATCACAATAGACAATTGACATGCTACAGCATTTTCAGGTTCTTCAAAATTATTCATAACAGCCAACCTCAAAGATATTTTTTCTTCCTCTTGAATGGAACTATTGTAAAAAAAAATATATATAATAATAATAATGATTATAATAAATTTTAGTTCTTATGACAAATACATTGGTGAGATTAGAAAAAATTTTCATGTATTTACTTTTCTGTTGTTTTCCTCCAATACTTATCAACCCCATTTTTAAAAACAGAAGCAGCTAGCCATCTTACGTTAGAATCAATAGTATGATTTGAAATAATTTTTAAAAGCGTTGAAAAATACCCCGGCTGTTTTTCCCATTGCTTTAATTTTATTTCTGCAGACTTTATTGCGTTTAAATCTTGACTAGTGATCATGGCGAGAGTTTCAAGAAGTGCAGACTCAACTTGAGTAAACTCCATATCATTGCTACACCAATATAAGGAAATTACAAAAGGACAGCAAAAATTTCCTAAAAATTATTTTAGTCTTCACTATTGAACTCAATGAAAAATAAATCTGATTAACCTAATGATTAAAGGTTTATAATGAATTCCATCACATAACGTTAATACAAAAAATCTTCATGGCAAATTAATTTTTATTCAGGAAAGTAGCACTCAAAAATCGAATTTAATTATTGAAACTGCGGGTCCTGCTGTCAGAAGTAAATAAACAAATTCTTATTTCGTTAAATGCATTATTTTATTAACTGGTGTCTAATTTGCAACACAGCAATACAGTGTTGCCGTTTATAATTGTAAAAATTCTGACTTCGGGTCGACAAATCCACTAATGTAGGAAATTATGTCATTTTAAAAACCGTTAAAATTTTACAAAAAAAATTTTTGATATTTTTATTGAAAATAACTTAAATTTTTTATTAAATAAAAATAAAGAAGACTCTTTAAGAACTATTGAAAGCGGAAACTGAATACATATTGATTTTAAACTCATTTCCCTAAAATAAAGAAAAGTTTGAGTAGAATGACTTTTTTTAAATATGAGTCTGCTGCATAGTTATTAAAAAATATATATATATATATATATATATATATAATTATTTAATTTTAGTAAATTCTTTTAAACAAGTGATTTTTATATATTAGAGATCCTGGACTAATCCAACTAATCTTGTAAATTTTTTCAAAAACGGAAATAAGACACTAATTATTATCAATGCAATTCTCATTACCGATAAAAAAACTTAATGCGATGAAACTTGAAATTAAACTTACCGAAATAAAAAATTTTTCTTTTACGTATTTCGTCACCCATTCAAAATAAAAAAGAAATTTTACAAGTACGTTAAAATCAAAACTCGGCCTCTGATTGACGACGGAAAGTCAATTTACAATTTTTTATTGAAAAGAATCAAAAGATAAATTGTTTTTTTTATATATTTAAATATAAATAAATATTTTGATATTTACATGTTTTACGCACTGAACTCTCTATCAACAATTATTAAATCATTTATTAACTTAACTTATAATACTCTTAAGTATGATAATATTATTGAGGAAAAAATGATTTAGCAAATTTATTTTGTTTCCACTTGGGCAAATGCTTATCAGGTCTAAGAGCCTTCGGAACATAAGCTCCTTTAGTATCACTCATTTTTCTGTGATAGGGATTTTGACGTAATTCAAAAGGACGCCTTCTCGCATCACGAGGCCTCATTGCGAACTGAATTTTAAAAATTCTTTCCCAATCTTGAACCTCATACATTAAATCACTCCTGAAAA